CTTTTGGCTTTTTTTTTTTTTTTTTGTCACTAATTGAAGAAAAGAGTCTCAGGGACTTCCACGACCCTCAGATTTCAGCCTCCTAAGTAGCTAGAATTACAGGCATGAGTCACCACTGCCTGACCTGAACTTTTTTTTTTCTCAAGGCTAGCACTCTACCACTTTTCCACAGCTCCACTTCTAGCTTTTGGTGGTTAATTGGAGATGAGTCTCATGAAGCTGGGCGCTGGTGGCTCACTCCTGTAATCCTAGCTGCTCGGGGGCTGAGATCTGAGGATCATGGTTCAAAGCCAGCCTGGGCAAGAAAGTCCGTGAGACTCTTATCTCCAATTAAAAAAAAAAAAAAAACTGGAAGTGGTGCTGTGGCTCAAGTGATAGAGCGCTAGCCTTGAGCTGGAGAGCTGAGGGATAGTGCCCAGGCCCAGTGGTCAAGTCCCACAACCAGAAGGGAAAAAAAAAAAAAAGTGACGGATTTTCCTTCCCCAGGTGGCTTTGAACAGGGATCCTCAGATCTCAGCTTCCTGAATTGCTAGGATTGTACAGGTGTGAGCCACCAGTGTCTAGCTAGAAGGTTCCCTTTTTTTTTTTTTAAAGTCAGTCTCGGGGCTTGAACTCTGGGCCTGGGTGATGTTCCTGAGCTCTTCAGCTCAAGGCTAGCACTCTACCACTTGAGCCACTGTGCCACTTCCAGTTCTGGAGGTTAATTGGGAATAAGAGGAGTCCCATGGACTTTCCTGCCTGGGCTGGCTTTGAACGGTGATTCTCAGATCTCAGCCTTCTGAGTAGCTAAGATTACAGGAGTGAGCCACCGCCACCCGTCAGGGTTCCCCTTTTGATGGCAGCTCTCTATGCCATTCCTGTATTGAGACTAGATGTGGCCTCTAGCATGTGTGCCGCCCCTCACATTCTGATGAGATGTGTAGTAGTCCCACCCTCATTCTACCGCAGGTATTTCCTGCCTTCTCTTGTGCTTCTCCTTTCAACTGTGGGTTGTTTATAAGTGCCTTATTTAAATGCCAGACATTGCAGCATTTCCCACATGTCTTTCCATTATTGTTTTCTCCTTCCCTCCCTTCCTCCCTCCCATCTTCTCTCCCTCTCTCCGTTCATCCCTCCCCTCCTTCCTTCGTTCTTTCCTTCCTTTTTCTTCTGTATTTTCTTTCTGTTTTTTAATTTATGTGGTACTGAGGAACCGAACCCAGGCCTCATGTATGCTAGGCAACACTCTACCACTGAGCCACCTTCCCAGCTCTGTTGGTTTATTTCTTAATTTCTGTGTGTGTGTGTATGTGTGTGTGTGTGTGTGTGTGTGTGTGTGTCTGTGTGTGTGTGTGTGTGCTGGTACTAGGGCTTGAACTCTGTGTTTCTTGCTCAGTTTTTTTGGTTTTTATTTGGTGCATGTTTTGGGGCTTAATTCAGGGCCTGAGCACTATCTCTTAGCTGCTTAGCTAAAGGCTGCCACTCTGCCATTTGAGCCACAGCTCCACTTCTAGCTTTTTGGTGGTAACCTCCTGAGTAGCTAGGATTATAGGTGTGAGCCATTGGTACCTGGCTCATTTTGATTTCTAATTGGTTTTCCTTGTGTTTGGAGAGCATACTTTGATTTCAGCAGGAGGCCAGCCTGTGCTATACTGCTAGACTGTGTCTGAAAAAGAAAATGGTACCATGAAACTATAAATTAGTATAAACTATACTATTATACAGAAACAGACAGAGGAAAGAGCATTGTGTGGTCTAGAAGGTTCCTTGGCACAAAGATGAGTTCCCTACCCTGAGGCTTCTTAAACCCTGGATTAGGGGTTTTTATGGAGGCTCTTGCTAGGTGAAGTCACCTGCGGCTTAGGTAGCTCAGGTCTTTAGTCTTTAACTGGCTTCCAAAGGTACCAAGTTTTTTTTTTTTTTGTTTTTGTTTTCCAAGTTGTTTCTATCTGATCCCTTTACAGCTAATTGTGATAATAGGAAGTATATACATCTTAAGTGGGATTTGGTGTCATTAGACATTCACACTGCTGTTTATTGCCCCACCATTCATCTCCATAAATTGTCCCATGTAACCCTAACTCCCATCCTTCCCTACCCCTGGCACCCACTTCTTGTCTCTAGTGATTATAAGATACTCCTGTGGGCTGGGAATGTGGTTCAGTGGTAGAGTGCTTGCCTTGCATGCATGAGGCCCTGGGTTCGATTCCTCAGTACCTCACAAGTAGAAAATGCTGGAAGTGGCGGCGATGTGGCTCTAGTAAAGTGTGCTAGCCTTGAGCAAAAAAACTTGGGGACAGCACCCAGGCCTTAAGTTCAAGACTCAAGACTGGCACAAAGGAAAAAAAAAAGATACTGCTGTGCGTGATGTCTGCAGGGTTCATCCTTCCATTTGGCTGATTTCACTTCTTGCCCGGACCTCCAGGGCATCATAGCTGTCACAGGTGGCAGGACTTCCTTCCTTTCCATGGCTCCCGAATGCCCCACACGTGTGACGGACTGTACCGTGTATGTCTGTTCAACTAGGCTCCTCCACCTTCTCTCTGCTACCGTTCCACTGTTCTGGGCACCCATGTGTGTGTTTATCTTACAAGGGGAGACTTGGAAGAGGCAGAATGCCTGGGTGGGCAAAAAGGTGCTGAGGCGTGGGTACCATAGCTCCTGGAAGCAGAAGGTTGCTGGGCTGTGTGGTTGTGTGGTAGAGCCCTCCCCATTTTGAGGATGGCCATTGCTGCCAGAGTGATAGACTGGACACAGCAGAGTGGTGGTTGTGTGGTGCTGGCCCACATACCTGCTAGTAATGTCAGGTGGTGGTATGGCTCTGCAGATGTGTCAGGGCCCGTGGTTCCAGCCATCCCTATTCCTACTTCCTGCAGTGGGGTTTTTTCTGGTTGTTTTTTCCCCCTGACCTTGGGGCTTGAATTCAGGACTTAAGCACTCTCCTTTAGCTCTTTTGTTCACGGCTGGTGCTCTACCACTTAACTCACAGCTCAACTAAAGACTTTTTTTTGGGTTAATTGGCAATAAGAGTCTCATGTCTCATAGACTTTTCTTTCTAGGGTAGCTTAGAACCATGATCCTCAGATCTCAGTCTCCTGGGTAGCTAGGCTTATAGGCCTGAGCCACTGGTGCCTGGCTGCTTTTGGCTTTGAGCAGCCACCTGTGATAGGTTTTCCTGTGGATGACCCAGATGTGCGTGTGTGTGTGTGTGTGTGTGTGTGTGTGTGTGTGTGTGTGTGTGTGTGACGTGCACCCCTGTATGCATGCCAGACCTGGGGTTTGAACTCGGGGCCTGGGCTCTGTCCTTTAGCTCTGTTGCTCAAAGCTCTACTGAGCCAAAACTCAACTTCTGGTTTTCTGGTGGTTCATTGGAGATAAGAATCTCACAGACGGGCTGGGAAGGTGGCTCAGTGGTAGAGTACTTGCCTTGCATGCATGAGGCCCTGGGTTCGATTCCTCAGTACCACATAAGCAGAAAAAAAAAGCCAGAAGTGGTGCTATGGCTCAAGTGGTAGAGCGCTAGCCTTGAGCTGAAGAGCTGAGGGACAGCGCCCAGGCCCAGAGTTCAAGCCCCAAGACTGGACCCCCAAAAAAATGAAAAAAAAAAAAAAAAGAATCTCACAGACTTTTCTGCCTGGGCTGCCTTCATTGGGTGAACTTCAGATCTCAGCCTCAGGTGTAGCTAGGATTGCAGGTGTGAGCGCCCAGCCCACTTGTTGGTGCGTGGTTAATTGGAGATAAGAATCTCATGGACTTTCCTGCCCAGGGCCCAGTCCAGCCGCTTTTTAAACAGATGCAAACTATTTCTGGCACAGAGTTGTGTTCTAGCAAAGTCGTGGGCCAGAGAGCTGACTGCAGTGATGAGCAGTCCAAGTGCCCTGTTCCCCATGGGAGGGAACAGGAGCTTCAGGCTGAGGGTCTCCACAGATACAACAGCCAAAGTAGGCGAATGAGGCTGGAGTCCATGACCCTCCTTGCACCACCTGTAGCCTGGAGCTCTGGGTGCCCTGGCTTATGGCTCTGTCTCTTGTTCCCCTACTCTCTTCTTCCTCCATATTTCATATTCACATTGGCCTTACTTTACTTCATTCCTCTGCAGAGACCTGGGTACATGTACTCAGGATGTTGTGTCTCACCTGGCCTTCATTTCCAGCCATGGGCTGGAATGGAGTTGAGGGTTGCCAGGTGCGGCTCACGCCTGTAATCCTAGCTACTCAGGAGGCTGAGATTTGAGCATTGTGGTTCAAAGCCAGCCTGGACAGGAAAATCCGAGAGACTGTTAATTCCAACAAACCACTCAGAAAACTGGGAGTGGCGCAGTGGCTCAAGTGGTAGAGCGCTAGCCTTGAGCTGAAGAGCTGAGGGACAGCGTTCAGGCCCAGAGTTCAAGTCCCACGACCGACGACAACAACAACAAACAAAAAAAAGTTGAGGGCCTGGTAGTGCCAGGGAAGGGCAGAGTGGAACCTTGGGAGCAGAAAAGTGAGAGGGTGGGGGGAGGGGCTCCCCCTTCCATAGACTGTGTTGAGGAGCCTGTTTGTCACAGTAGAGACCCTAGGAGGAGGAGACATAGGGGCCTTGCAGCCCCCAAGGGACAGACTGCAGTGAGGAGGCCAATAAACTAGCAAAAAGCAGGAAGTGGAGGTATGACCCAAGTGGTAGGACACCAGTATGGAGCTTTGGAACAGCGAAGCAAAAGGGTTAGGAGTGCGCAAGCAAACCAATGAATGAGGGAAGAAGGGAGTAAAGGATCAAGTAAAAGAATGGATGAGTGAAAGGTGAAAGGAGAATTAATGAATGAGTGAACCCATGGGGGAGAAATGATGGACACAGAGATGTAGTAGTACCTTTGCATGTGCCCCTGCTCTTCTACGCTGGCCCCTGCTGTCACCTCCCCCCATTCCAGAAGAATCCTCTTCAGCTTACTCTGGGCAGGTGTTGGCTGAGGCAGAATCCTCCAGAAGAGGCTGTGGCCAGGAGCACGGCCCTTGACTACCTCGAGGCCGCCAGCAAGGCTCACGGTGTCTTCTCTCCTGCCTTAGGTTTGTGCTGGCTGTGGGCAGTGCTGTCTTCGATGCCATGTTCAACGGGGGAATGGCCACCACATCCACTGAGATTGAGCTGCCCGATGTAGAGCCAGCTGCCTTCCTGGCTCTGCTCAAGTAAGCTTCCAGATCTTTCTAACTGGGGTTGGCAAAATGTAGAATAGTCAGAAGACACATAACTGGATGGAAAGCTCTAGAGGGAAAGGGTGGACCAGCTCCCAGGCTTACCTCTTAAGATTCTTTTAACTCATTTTTATTTCATTTTTTTCGTGGTACTTGGTTTTGAACTCTGTGCTTGTTAGGCTGTTCCTCTACCATTTGAGCCATACGGCTAATCTTGTTTTGTATATGTATGGGGGGAGGCAGTGTCAGCGTCAGTACTGGAGATTGAACTGAAGGCCTGGCACTCTCCTTTTGTTTTTGTTTTTGTTTTGGGTCCGGTTGTGGGCCTAAACTCTGGGCCTGGGCGCTGTCCCTCAGCTCTTCAGCTCAAGGCTAGCGCTCTACCACTTGAGCCACAGCGCCACTTCTGGCTTTTTTTTTTTGTTTATGTGGTGCTGAGGAATCGAACCCAGGGCCTCATGCATGCAAGGCAAGCGCTCTAGCACTGAGCCACCTTCCCAGCCCTGGTTTTTGTACTCAAGACTAGGATTCTGCCACTTGAGCCATAGCTCTCTTCTGGCATTTTGGTGGTTAATTGGAGATAGAGTCTCAGACTTTCCTGCCCAGCCTGGCTTTGAACTTCAATCTTCAGATCTCAGGCCTCTTGAGTAGCTAGGATTAGGGCATGAGGCACTGGTGCCCAGCTCCAGCTTTGTTTTTTGCTAGTTGTTTTGGAAATGGAGTCTAGCAGGATGGTTTTGAACCACAATCCTCAAAGTCTTAGCCTTCTGAGATAGCTAGGAGGAACCATCAGCACCCACCTTATTTATTTGTTGTGGTGAGTACACTGTCAACTATTCCCCACTCTGCTCTCCTTCACCACTACAGTTAAATATTGGGGGGGGTTCAATTTTGGCCATGTGTGTGGCCCAGTGTCCCCCACATTTCTTCCAGGGTGAATTGTATATTCAGTTATATGACCATCACTTCTATCTAGTTCTAGATCACCCCTAAAGGAAACCCCCTCCTCATGAGCAGTCACCCCACTCTCTGCCACGCCTCCCAGTCCATGACCTCTTAGACTCTGAATCTGCTTGTTCTAGCCATTTCTGCTTGTTCTAGCCATTTCCTATCAGTGGAGCTGATACGATGGGACCATGTGCATGTGTGGTTGAGTGCGCATGATGTCATCAAAGTCCCTCCATGCTGGGCTTGTCAGTATCTTGTGGCTGTGGCCTGTGTGTAGTGGACTGCACACTCCATGATGGGTACTGACTGGTCCTCTGAGTGTTGTGTGTTGTGATGTAATGGGTGTTCATGTAGCATTTTTTTCTTCCTTTCTTTTTTTTTGCTGGTCATGGGTCTTGAACTCAGAACCTGGGCGCTGCCCCTGAGCCTTTTTTTAGTCAAGGCTATTGCTCTACCAATATAAGCCACAATTCCACTTCTGGTTTTCTGGTAGTTAATTGGTGATAACAGTCTCACAGACTATCCTGTCTAGGCTGGCTTTGAACTATGATCCTCAGATATCAGCCTCCTAAGTAGCTAGGACTACAGGTGTAAGCCACTGGCACATGACTTCCATGTAGAATTTCCATATGGCCATGAGTCTTTCCACTCTCCTGGAAAGGGGTTTGGAATTCATAGTGTCCTCTCAGAGTAGGAAGGACATGCTTGTGGTTTGTTTGTCTGGTTTTGTGTCAGTCCTGAGGCTTGAACTTAGGGCCTAGGTTCTGTCCCTGAGCTTTTTTTGCTCAAAGCTGGCCCTCTACCACTTGAGCCAGAGATCTACTTCTGGCTTTTTAATGGTTAATTGGATATAAGAATCTCATGGAGGGGCTGGGAAGGTGGCTCAGTGGTAGAGCGCTTGCCTTGCATGCTCAAGGCCCTGGGTTCGATTCCTCAGCACCACAAAAGCAAAAAGAAAAAACCCGGAAGTGGCGCTGTGGCTCAAGTGGTAGAGCGCTAGCCTTGAGCTGAAGAGCTGAGGGACAGCGCCCAGGCCCAGAGTTCAGACCCCACGAACGGACCCCCCCCCCAAAAAAAAAAAAGAATCTCATGGATTTTCCTTCCCTGGGCTGGCTTTGAACCTAGATCCTCAGATCTCAGCTTCCTGAGTAGCTAGGATTACAAGTATGAGTCACCTTGGAAGGACACTCTTGGAAGGTCGCCCTCCTTGGACACTTTTGGTGACAACATGGTACCTCATCCCTAGCTGCCCTGCCTTTGCCCCCTTGCCTTGCTATTTCTATGAGATTTTCTCAGTCAGCCCCATTGCTGCCCATGTTCCAGGTGTTAGGGATAGAGGACGGTCATAATAGCCATGAGCAATGGGGCACAGTTTGGCCTTTGGAGTTCTGTTATTCACTCAAGAATGTAGGGAGGCTAGGCACTGGTAGCCTATTCAGGATGCTGAGATCTGAGGATTGTGGTTTAAAGCTAGCCTGGGCAGGAAAGGCCATGAGTCTTGTCTCTCCAGCTAACCACCAGAAAGCCAGAAATGGTGCTGTGGCTCAAAGTGGTGGAGCACTAGCCTTGAGCAAAATGGTTTAGGAACTATACTAAGGCCCTGAGTTGAAAACCTATGACCCACAAAAAATAAAAATAAAAAGAAGAAAGAAAAGAAAAAAGAGGGAAGTAAAGGTAAGCCAAGTCGGGGAAACTTCGCTGGGCCCTTGGGAGCAGTGCACCTGCCTGCCCCTCCTGGCATCCCCTGCTATGGAGACATGGTTCGGGGGCATCAGGGCGGGGCTCACCTGTGCATGGATTCAGCATCATGGGTGGCAGCCTACACTAGACTGTGTCCCAGGTCAGAGGTACCTACGTGCTGTTTCCGGAAGGATGGACAATCACGAACATATTCCTTTTTTTTTTTTTTGTCAGTTGTGGGGCTTGAACTCTGGGCCTGGGTGCTGTCCTGAGCTCTTCAGCTCAAGGCTAGAGCTCTACCACTTGAGCCACAGCGCCACTTCCAGTTTTCTCATGATTAATTGGAGATAAGAGTCTCACATAGTTTCCTGCCCGAGGTGGCTTTGAACCACAACCCTCAAATCTCAGCCTCCTGAGTAGCTAAGATTACAGGTGTGAGCCACGGGTGCCTGGCTTCGGAAGGACTTCTGGGGTGGGTGGCTGTCTCCCTGTAGCTGGAGGGTCACCAGGTGCCATCTGCCTCACCGTTGTCCTGTCCCCCCCTCAGGTTCCTGTACTCAGACGAGGTGCAGATTGGACCTGAGACAGTCATGACCTCTGCCTCACAGCTGTCCTGTCCCCCCTCAGGTTCCTGTACTCAGACGAGGTGCAGATCGGACCTGAGACAGTCATGACCACACTGTACACAGCCAAGAAGTACGCAGTGCCCGCTCTCGAGGCTCACTGCGTGGAGTTCCTCAAGAAGAACCTGCGGGCCGACAATGCGTTCATGCTGCTCACGCAGGTGGGAGGGGCATGTGGGAAATGGAGGCCGTGGTCCACTGGCTGTGGGGAAGGAGTCACAGGGTACAGGCATCTCTGCAACATCACTTTTCCTCCCAGGACAATTTTCCACACCAGTCTGTTCATAGTCTGTTTCCTGGCCGCCCAGTGGATGTCTCGGTATGGGGAAGAGGCAGGTTGGCAGGAAGCGGCTGAGGATCACAGGGGCTCAGATACTTTCAGGCGGACCAGGCAGATCAGGAACAGGGGCAGCAAATGGGTAGCACATGGGAGCCGCCAGCTCCTGGTCTGGCCTTGCTGAGGCAGCTCGCAGGCAGAGGAGGACGGGACCACTGCTGCTTGAGTCCCCTGCTCAGGACGCTCTGGGGACAAGGCTGTGTGACCATGACTTGAAATTTGAGTAGATGAAGATAATGATGATGATGATTTTGTGTGTGTGTGCCATCCAGGGTCTTGAACATGGCCTGGGTGCTCCTCTGAGGTTTTTTGCTTTTGTGTTTGCCAGTCCTGGGGCTTGAATTCAGGGCCTGGACACTGTCCCTGAGCTTCTTTTGCTCAAGGCTAGCACTCTACCATGGCACCACTTCTGGCTTTTTCTGTTAATGTGGTAGTGAGGAATCAAACCTAGGGCTTTATGCACTCTATCACTAAGCCACATTCCCAGCCCTATACCCCTAAGCTTTTATGTTCAAGGCTAGCACTCTGCCATTTGAGCCACAATGCCAGTTCTGGCTTTTTGGTGGTTAATTGAAGATAGGAGTCTTTCCCTCCCAGGCCAGCTTTGAACTGGAATTCTCAGATCTCGGCCTCCTGTGTAACTAGGATTACAGGCATGAGCCACCAGTGCCCAGCTTATTTTGTTTTTCTAAGACAAGGTCTCACTACATTGCCCAGGCTAATCTCAAACTCCTGAGCTCCAGAAATCTGGCCTCCCGCTGTCACCATGCCCGGCTGGAAGCAGGGTGGCAGAGCCACTGCGGTCCTATACTGCAGGTGCTAATGTTCCCCACATCTCTCCAGGCACGGCTCTTCGACGAGCCACAGCTGGCCAGCCTATGTCTGGAGAACATCGACAAGAACACGGCTGATGCTATCACTGCGGAGGGCTTCACCGACATTGACCTAGGTAAGTGCCCCAGGCTGAACCAACTCAGGGTCTCAGAGCGCTGGTGGGAAAAGAGTAGGCATGGGCTAGGCTTGAGCCCCAGGAATAGGCACCTACCTTCTAGGATGAGATAGGACTTGAGGTGGTTACAGACTCAGTGGCACCTGGCAGTGGCAGGGCCAACTACAGATGCTCCTGCCTTGGGTCTCAATAGTCTCTTCTGGGAGAGCCCTGGTCCTCTTAGAGTGGAGTCAGTGCATGGACTTTACCTGCAAAGGGCTGAAAGGACTCTATTTTGGGCACTGTGTGCTAGTAATTTTTTTTTTTTTTTAGTCCAGTCGTGGGCCTGAACTCCGGGCCTGGGTGCTGTCCCTCAGCGATTCAGCTCAAGGCTAGTGCTCTACCACTTGAGGCACAATGCCACTTCTGGCTTTTTTTTTCCTGCTTATGTGGTGCTGAGGAATCGAACCCAGGGCCTCATGCATGCAAGGCAAATGCTCTACCACTGAGCCACCTTCCTAGCCCTGTGCTAGTAATTACTATCACCATACTTGAGTCTCCCCATCAAGGGCAGTAAGACAGGGAGCAGGTGTGGCTGAAGAAGGATAAAATTTTGTTGCCAAACATGGGCAGAAGACTGAAGTCAGCTCATCAGCTGTGAGGCTGGTGTGCACATGGGGCTTGCACACAGCCTGGCAGGGGTGCTGGCTGATACTTGAATTCACAGCCCACTCCTGCCCACAGACACACTGGTGGCTGTGCTGGAGCGCGATACCCTGGGCATCCGGGAAGTGCGGCTGTTCAATGCGGTAGTCCGTTGGTCTGAGGCTGAGTGTCAGCGGCAGCAGCTACAGGTGACGCCAGAGAACAAGCGGAAGGTGCTGGGCAAGGCCCTGGGTCTCATCCGCTTCCCACTGATGACCATAGAGGAGTTTGCAGCAGGTAAGTAGTTTGGGGCAAGGGGCCTTGTGCGGGGGCCTGCCCTCATCCACCCTCTAACAATAACTGTTGTAGTTATTGTGAGGAAGCTGGGAGAGCACATAAAGCCTACAGATGGGCGTGTATCTCAAGTGAATGCCGCTCATCAATCTGTACCTTCACTATTTTCTCTCACCCAATCCATACTGGCCATACTGTACCCATTACCTGCTTCTAGTGTCCTTCTGCTTGTTTTGGGGACATTGGCTCATGAGATGGGGTTTCTGCATCTTTTTTTTTTTTTTTTTTGTCATTCGTGGGGCTTGAACTCTGGGCCTGGGTGCTGTCCCTCAGCTCTTCAGCTCAAGGCGAGCGCTCTACCACTTGAGCTACAGCGCCACTTCCGGTTTTCTGGTGGTTTACTGGAGATAGGAGTCTCACGGTCTCTCCTGCCCGGGCTGGCTTTGAACCATGCGATCCTCAGATCTCAGCCTCCTGAGTAGCTAGGATTACAGGTGTGAGCCACCAGCGCCCGGCTCGGTTTCTGCATCTTGAGCTGAGGCTCAGGCCTTAGCCTTGTAACAAGGCTCCAGGCAAGGACAAGTTGGGCTGCTGTAGGACAACAGGGAGGGATCAGGGAAGGACAGGACATGCCACACTCATGACTGACTGCTCCTGGGTTGTGTGGCACTCGCTTAGGCCTGGAAGGTTCAGGAAGGGGCTTTGTGGTGCATCCTTGTGGTAGGTACAGAATTGTTCTCCCTCCTTTCCCCAATCCACGCAGTGCTGCTCTTGCCTGATTTAGAGTTGCCAGATTTAGCAAACAGCATGAATACTTTTCTAGTACAAGTTTCTCCCACACACTACATATCAAAAAAAAAAAAAGTCATTTCCCATCAATCTGAAGCTCAGGTTCATCCTGCTGACCTCTGTGTCCTCTGGGAACTCTCCTAGCTCTGTGGGTGTGGGAGAGTGGCTCCCCAGGGTCTGTGGGTCTCAGGTGTTAGAGATGGCTCTGCAAAATCCTTGGTGGTCCTCTTTGCAGAAGACTGGCCTGCGGTCTGGACCAGTGACCCAGCTGCAGGGGCTGGGCCCTCTAAGGTCCATGACAGGTCCTGGGTGCACGAACACTTTCCTGAGCTCTGTCACTGGTTCTGTGCCCAGTGCCCAGCCGTGTCTGTAACTCTTAAGGCTCCTATTGTGGAGCTATGGCTCCAGCAAAATACAGCACCAATCACAAGAGTATCATGCAGACTCTGAATCCAGCCTCTTGGCCACAGACCTGCCCCTACCTGCCAGCCTCCCCCACATCCTTGTCTCAGTATCCGTGGTTCCAGCCACATCTCCTGGGGACCCTGTAGCCCTGATGCTATCAACCTGCGGGAGGAGATGCCATAGCCTTACCTCAAAGGCAGTGGAAGAGTTTGCCATCCCCCATTTCCCTGTCATCTGCTCCTGGGTCCCTCCTTTCTTGGCTTTGTGGATGTAAGCTGTGCAGCCTTTGAGCCAGGGACTGTGTTGGTCATGGGAGCCACTGACCCCCTGGCTGATGACCCTGTGCATGGCCAGGCCAAGCATAGCATCCACCTGCTGTGACTTGAGGCTGTTCCTGCAGTGGGAGCTGTAGGATCTGAGGGCTTCAAGAGTACACAGAGCAGGAAATACCCAAACTTCAGGACAGATGGATGGCATGGTGGTGGGAGTTTTATCGTGGAGGAGCTTCCTATGTTACATGTTTTTAAAAATTGATGGGTCCACCCTGGGAGGAGCGTGTCCTTGGTGCATCCCACATCTCCAGGGCTCAGCCCTGCCTTGCCCTGCCCCTTCGCATGCAGGCCCTGCACAGTCAGGTATCCTGGTGGACCGTGAGGTGGTCAGCCTCTTCCTGCACTTCACTGTCAACCCCAAGCCCCGTGTGGAGTTCATTGACCGGCCGCGCTGCTGCCTGAGAGGCAAGGAGTGCAGCATCAACCGCTTCCAGCAAGTGGAAAGCCGCTGGGGCTACAGTGGAACCAGTGACCGAATCAGGTGTGGACAAAGGAGTAGGCAGAGCACATGGCCCTAGATGGGACTTTGGAGGGCTCAGGGAGTGAGGGGGAGCCAGAGAAGGCAGCGGAATGCAGGGGTGGGGATCTTCCTGGGGGAATAGATCTGTGCCCACCCTGTAGCTCGAGGCTACCCAAGGGTTCTTCCCACCCCCGCCCAGATCCCTTTTTGTCCTTTCTGTTTGGCCCACATCTGGCAGCTTGCCCTTGTCTGTCCCTAGATAGGGTCAGCAAGTGTCTACACCTTCCACAGGTTCTCGGTCAACAAGCGTATCTTCGTGGTGGGCTTTGGGCTCTATGGATCCATCCATGGACCCACTGATTACCAAGTGAACATCCAGGTATGTACCAGCACCCACCTATCCCCCAAGCCCTGGGAGTCCAGGCATGCCTGGCCCAGGTCCTGTCTATACCCATCTCCCCATATGGCTGGAGGAGTGTTCCCCATTCCTCATCCCAGCCTCAGGAGCTGAGCAGCCTTCCTGCCCCTAGATCATCCACACGGACAGCAACACAGTCCTGGGCCAGAACGACACTGGCTTCAGCTGCGATGGCTCTGCCAGCACCTTCCGTGTCATGTTCAAGGAGCCGGTGGAGGTGCTGCCCAACGTCAGCTACACGGCCTGTGCCACGCTGAAGGTGTGTGTGCCTGCGGCTGTGGGCCATGGTGCCTGCTAGCCAGCTGGATTTGGGTCTGTCCAGAGGCTTCTCTGGCACCCCTCCCAATCCAGCAAGGGCTCAGCCATCCCTACCCAGGCTGGGTCCTCACTGTTTCCTTCCCCTGCCAGGACGCTAGGGGGTCCTGATCTCGCTGTCTCCCACCTCCTCCAGGGTCCAGACTCCCATTATGGCACCAAAGGCCTACGAAAGGTGACCCATGAGTCACCCACGACAGGGGCCAAGACGTGCTTCACCTTCTGCTATGCTGCTGGGAACAACAATGGCACATCTGTAGAGGACGGTCAGATTCCGGAAGTCATCTTCTACACCTAGACCCACCCAGCCAGGCCCTGAGGACATCACCTAGGCCAGCCTTGCCAAGTCCTGTCCATGGAGGATGGCAAGGCCTTGAGGTCATTTCCCACACTTAGGCCATCCACAGCGTGACCCCAGCTGGCCTCCCTCAGCCACGTCCACCCCCTGCCACCTTTCTCAGCATCTCAGAAGGGGTGTCCCTGTGTCCACACAGGTGACAGGTGTGGCTGCTTGTTCAGAGGCGCTGGGAGGTACCTGCTACAAGCTGGGGCCCTGCCAAGACAATCCCACACCCTCAGGGGATCAGGGCTGTGCCTGGGGTCCAGCCACTCAGGGCCCTCAGCCCAGTTGCTGGGGCAGGGCTCAGGAAGGCTGCCAGCTCCCGTTTGTCTTGTTTAACTGCACATTGCAATGCATTCAGATCCCCATTTCTCTGCCAGCCAGCACTAAGGCAAGGAGCTTCTAGAGCCATTGATCTGGGTCTAATGGGCCTGGCCTGCAACGTACCCAAGGCCACCCTGATCCCTGGCCTGACTAGGTGTCCCTACCTCCAGGATGCTGCCCAAATCCTGGGAGCACTCGGTGAGGAGTGCCTGCCTGCACTGTCCTGAAGGGCAGCTCCTGGTCCTAGTGACAAATGGTTTGTCTCTGCTCGTGTCACCAGTGGACCAGCTGAGGCTGGCATCTCCCAGCCTCTCGGGAAGGCCAGGAGACAGGATGGGGTATGAGCCCTGCCTGTGCCTGGAGGGATAGTGCTGCTGCTGCAGGTTGGGCCCCATCTAGATGCAGCACCACCCCAGCTGGCCAGATGTGGGGCTAGGGTTGCCACCCACTGCCCCCCTAGTACATACTGCAGCCCAGGCAGCCACCAAGCACCCTGTCCAGAGGTGCTGGACCATGCAACTCCTAGCCTCCAACCCCCACCCATGTCTCCACCCCACTGATTCCTTCTGTAACCCATATCTTCCCCAAAGCCATGGGAGGGGTGCCCTCCTCCACACCAGTCCCCAAATGATTTTTCTAAGTAAAGGAAAAAAAAGCACCTGCTCAGACCTCCTGTGTGCTGCTTTCCACTGGCACCACTGGCATAAAAGGTGGTCTCCACATCCCCCTGCGCTTTTCCTAGGGCTGGGTTCCCCCAGAGAAAGAGGTGTTTGGGAAGCAACAATCTACATGGCAGAAGGATTCAGGGTTTTGGGGCACATCTGGGAAAAAGGCAATTGCAGAAATGGATGTAGTGGCACATACCTGCAATCCTAGCGCTGGGAAGGCTGAGGTAGGAAGCCTGAAGTTCAATGGGTAAGACCGTGTCCCAGGCTGAGAATACGGCTTAGTGGTAGAGTGCTTGCCTAGCATGGATGAAGCCCTGGGTTCAATTCTTCAATACCAAATAACAGAAAAAGCTGGAAGTGTTGCTGTGGCTCAAAGTGGTGGAATGCTAGCTTTGAGCAAAAGCAGCTCAGGGGCAGGCGCTGGTGGCTCACACCTGTAATCCTACCTACTCAGGAAGCTGAGATCTGAGGATCATGGCTCAAAGCCAGCTCAGGCAGAAAAGTCCTCAAGACTCTTATCTCCAATTAACCACTAGAAAACCAGAAGTGGCGCTGTGGCTCAAGCAGTAGCGCATTCACCTTGAGCTGAAGAGTGCAGGGATACCGCCCAAACCCAGAGTTCAAGCCCTGCGACTGACAGGAAAAAAAAAAAACAACCCTAAAAGAGTAGCGTTGCATTTAATCCTATAATTAGATCAAGTAAAAGCCACTCAATGAGAAGGGAAGGAGTGTTGGATTTGGATTGGAATTCACCCACAAGTACAGAGGAAACTATCTCAGATGCTGCTAGACAGGGTGCAGTTCTGAATCAGGAGGTGGTTGTTCCAGGCCCAGTTCTCAGACTGGTAAGGTTGTTAGACATGCCAGGAAGACAAAACCCTCAAGTGTCTATCAGGAAACACCTTTACATAGATACAGGTAAAATGAGAAATCATGAAAACTAGGAAGTATTTTGAATACACTAAAATTTGAGGATCCTGCTAGAGAATTGAGAATGTATTGTGGACAGATGAGACAAAGGGCTCGGTTGGGGGCTGGTGGCTCACGCCTGTAATTCTAGCTACTCAGGAGGCTGAGGTCTGAGGATCCTGGTTTGAAGCTAGCCTGGGCTGCAAAGCCCCATGAGACTCTCACCACTCAAAAACCAGAAGTGGAGCTGTGGTTCACACTAGCCTTGAGCAAAAAAGCTCAGGCCCGGGCTGGGAGGGTGGCTCAGTGGTAGAGTGCTTTTCTTGCATGCATGAGGCCCTGGGTTCAATTCCTCAGCACCACATAAGCAAAAAGAAAAAAGCCAGAAGTGACGCTGTGGCTCAAGTGGTAGAGCCTAGCCTTGAGCTGAAGAGCTGAGGGACGGCGCCCAGACCGAGTTCAGGCCCCACAACTGGACCCCCCCCCCAAAAAAAAAGCTCAGGCCCTGAGTTCAAGCTCCACAAACAATAAAAAGAAATAAGGGCTCAGGCTGGGAACATGGCTTAGTGGTAGAGTGCTTGCCTAGCATGCATTGAAGCCCTGGGTTCGATTCCTCAGCACCACATAAGCAGAAAAAGCTGGAAGTAGCATTGTGAGTCAAGTGGTAAAGCACTAGCCTTGAGCACAGAGAGGCTCAGGGACAGAGCCCAGGTCTTGAGTTCAAGCCCTAGGACTGGCAAAAAGAAAAAAAAGAGCTCAGTGGTAGAGAGTTTGTCTAGCATGTGTAAGGCTATGGGTTGTATTCTCAACACAGGGGGGAAGGAGGGAAAGAAAGGAAAAAATAAGGACGTTGGCTCAAAGCAATGATTAAAGCTTACATCTCAAGAAATCAGAAAATGGGTCTGGAAAGGTGGCTCAGTGTTAAAGAGCGCTTGCCTTGCATGCATGAGGCCCTCGGTTTGATTCCTCAGCACCACATACACAGAAAAAGCCAGAAGTGGCACTGTGGTTCTAGTGGTAGAGCACTAGCCCACAGCTGAAGAGCTGAGAGACAGCGCCCAGCCCAGAGTTCAGGCCCCATTATGCCAGGAGTGGTAGCACAGTCCTGTAGCATTAAGGGAGGTGATGCAAGAGGATTATAAATGTGAGGGAAGGAAAAAAATCAGTATCAACAACAAACTGAACCTCCCTAAGAGAAATAATGAAATAAAAACGCAAACATGAAGGAGAAGATATTAAACTATGGAAAGGTATCACCACAAATGTACAGACTCACAGTGGCAAAAAGGGCTTCAGTTTCTAATGAGGATGAAGGCTGTTTGTTCATGGATAGCCAGAACTAGCTGGTAGAATAATAGCCATGAAAAGGAGATAGGTATCAGGGTCCCTACAGAAACCACACACTTACCTAAGAGATGTGGAGGCAGATCTGAAGGTCTACCCTGGAGCACAGAGAACAGAAAGCATGCTCCTAGGAGAGCAGAGGCTAGCAATGCTTAGCATGGACCTCAAACAGTGCTGAGTTAGCACTGGGCAAGTTGCAAGAAGAGAAAGCAGCAGCTGGGAAAGTGATGACCATGAGGCTGGTGGGCCAGACGTGGGTGGGAAGCTAAAAACTGGCCAGGTTTTCTTCCTGGGACTTGTGCTTAGTGACTAGATGGGGAGGCTGGGGGCAGCACAGAAGTGCAAGAGAGCATAGAGCCTGGAATCTTGCTGTATTAAGCAGCCAAGGTCCTATCAGGCTGCAGGACTGGCACTAAACACCACTAGACCTATACTCAAAGCATCAGAGTCAACATGAATTGAAACAGAATGAAGTGGTAACCCTGCCTAACCAGCAACCATAGCTCCCAACCAGAAAGGAGCAGGTTCTTATTTAGCAAGTGGGAGGCCCTAGGGAATCTCAATCTCCAAGACTACAACAATAACAATAATAGGTCAAACTGGGCACTGGTGACCTATGCCCCACAACCAACAAAAGATGAATAAAATGGAATTGTCTCTGCACCCCACATTCCTGCTCCATGTGGAGCAGACTTGGACATTTTGACAACAGCTGGTTTTCAGGGATTGAAAACCATTCCAGTGACTAACAGAGACACTGGACCTTCTGGGCCAGTGTTCTGCTGCCACTACTTTTTTTGTTGTTGTCGGTCATGGGGCCTGAACTCTGGGCCTGGGCGCTGTCCCTCAGCTCTTCAGCTCAAGGCTAGTGCTCTACCACTTGAACCACAGCATCACTTCTGTTTTTTTGCCGTTTATGTGATGCTGAGGAATCAAACCCAGGGCCTCATGCATGCTAGGCAACCACTCTTACCACTGAGCCACCTTCCCAGCCCCTCGTTTTGTTGAGACTATGTGATCCAGGCTGGCCTTGAACTTGTGATTTTCTTGCCTCAGCCTCCCAATGGTGAGATTATAGTTAACACCATGCGTGGCTCCCCCGCCCCCCTCCCGTTGTTGGTTGTAGGACTTGAACTCAGGGCCTGGGCACTGCCCATGAGTCTTTTGCTTAAGGGTAGCACTCTTCCACTTTTGAGCCACAGCGCTATTTTCAGTTTTATGGTGGTTAATTGGAGATAAGGGCCTCATAGATTTTCCATGCCTAAGCTGGCTTTGAACCGCAATCCTCAGATCTCAGCCTCCTGAATACCTGAGCTACCAGCGCCTGGCTTGGAATTATTTTAGAAGGGAGAAGGTAAGGTAAGGAGTGACGGGAGCACAAGTATACATGTGTGGAGAAGGTAAGGGAGAGTGACAGAGGGGAGAAATTACACATGTGTGGAAAGGTCACAATGAACACTTTCCCTCTGTGCAACTAATGTATACTAGTTTTTAAAAAAATCATTAAAAACCACACAAACCTTTCCGGTGGGAGTCCCAGTTCGGTAGCAGAGTGTAGAAATGCAAGACACCCTCGTTTCTTCCACTTCCTGCTTTTCCTTCTTGAACTGTTTTCTGTCCTCCTGCCTTGCTGACCTAGGCAGGTTCTTCCATCTTGAAAGCCTAGCTGTCCATCCTTGGGCTTCCAGGTGGCTATTGGCGGGGGGATTCCCTCTCCTCCCCTCCCTCTACCTACAGGTTCTGCAGGAAGCTGAAATGCACCCAACACTTGGGGAGCTATCCTTCTGCTAGCTTCTAAACTGGACAGTGCTTTTGTGGGGCCTCCCCCTTCCTGTCCAGCTGGGGGGAGAAACACTTGAGAAGGGAGGGAAGGATTCACCCTTGTCCTTAGGCAAGGAGCACCATGGCCATAGGCTTTGCAGGAACTACAGCTAAGACTGAGCTTTGCTTTCCCCACCCCTAACATCTTTTCTCTGCTCCACTCAGTGTGGATTTTGGGGGTTTGCTTTCCCACCCCTAACATCTTTTCTCTGCTCCCCTCAGTGTGGATTTTGGGGGCTTCCTGCCTCCTACTGCTCTTCTCAGGAGGCAGTGAGGAGTCCGCACTCATCCAGCCCGGCTGTTTGCATTCTGCTTCCCAAAGACACCACCCTGGTCCCCGCAGCTCCTCAGCACTCTGGACAAGAGTGTAACTGTTGTCAGCTTTGAGTTGGGTTCTAGAAATACCAGGCCGCACTTGGGAGTGGTTTCACTTTTCTTTTATTTTTTTTTTTTTTAAAAAAGCCCCTAAATTCTATGGCTTCAAGGAAGCATCAGAGAAACGTAAATGCCATTTCTGTACACTTTGTAAAGCAAGAATTATGTTTGAACAACCACCACCCCCAGGGACACCCAGGTGCCTCTGCCCTGGCCATTTGGGGGACCAAAAAGGGGCACCCCATATCACACTGGCTGCCCTCTGCCCCGTGCCCTCTGCAGGGCTGAGTGGGGGCATTAAGGCGATTTTTTAAAATCTGGCATCTCCTGGACCACAGCCTCCTGCAGCACAGCAGGGGCACAAAGGAGCCCATGTGCTCAACAGTACAGTGGCTGCCCGCCTCCCGGGGTCCGGGGCACCTGGGCATAGCCTCCAGAGCAGGTGTATCAAGAAGCACCTGCCTGACAGGTGCAAGCTCCACAGGGCTGGGCTGCGGCAGCCGCACCGGGCGCCGAGCTTTGGTGCAGCATTTTGGTTGCG